AACCAGCTTTCTCTCTAGTGGTCTTCCTTGGCATTCTTCTTCCTAAATCCATCCAATGATGCACAATTCATTCCACAGAGGGTGCATCATCATCACATTGTCTGCAGATGAGCAGGCTCAGGCTTCACTTCTCAGGGCATGCAGAGGGCTGCCTTTAAAGGTGAGGTGTCCTTGGGCACCTAGCTAGGTTCATCGCCATCTTTCTGCCTTGATTTCCCACCAGTTCAAAGGAGGAGTCAAGTTGTCCATCTTATACTCAGAATTCATGTCCAGTATTTATAAATCTCAACTTTCAACTGTTTGTGAACTCTAAGAAGGAGTCCAAGTCCATCTCTCTAGAGTAGCAAGTCCCTCCAAGAAGCAGCTATGATCCTGCTGTCTAATCCCTTAGTAATAGGAATACAATTGCTTCCTCACCCATCTTATTCCTTCACAGGCTTATGGGATGAACTATCATAGGCACTAATATGTTGTTGTACTATTCCTTCCAGGTGAGGTATTTTCATTTCAGCAAGAAATAACTTCAGATATAACTTCACCTAAAATAGCAGGTCTAGTGGAGGGAGATGATTAATTTTAAATATATTTTTATTGATTTCAGAGAGGAAGGAGAGAGAGAAAAATACAAACATCAGTGATGAGAGAGAATCATTAATTGGTTGCCTCCTGCACATTCCCCACTGGGGATCGAGCCTGCAACCCCGGCGCCCTGACCCAGAATCGAACCGTGACCTCCTGGTTCATAGGTTGATACTTGATCACTGATCTACCCTGGCTGGACAAGGGAGATGATTTAGATGCTCTTCCAATCACTTGCCAACTTTGCCTGCATGAAGGACCAAACCTGGTCAAATTCAATTATTTTACCAAGCTTTTTCTCTTATTTTGAAAATTATCAACAGTTATTTCTGAAGTTGGACAAGATAGGACAATATTGATGCCAAAACCAAAAGTTGGATGGGATGATGCTTCCATATAACAGGTCACAATGTTCATGGCTTTTCATCATTGGCTAGGGTTCCTGTACCCCCAGACAACTGTGTGAACAGAGATTTGGTGACTTGGCCTCATGTTTATCCCCTCTGCATAGAAGACCCCTCTGAGATGTTCACTTGAGTGACTGTTATTCTAAACTGAGACATATCTTCTTTTCCAGAAGAAAAGTCATTCATGTCAGTTCCTCACTCTCTGTGCTTTTTTCAAATAGGATTTTTCAGAAGTTAAAATGTTACAGGTTGTGACGTTTCTGCTTATTTCAAGTTTTGTCTTTTAAAGATGTGTTTGGGAAATGGACCTTCACCTAGATTAAAATAAGCCTGACCCTTTTCTATCATGAGCCAGTCTTCAATATTCTCACTAACAAACAGCATTCAAAGATGTTCACTGAACATCATCCGACTTTTCAGGCAAGGGGATGAGATAAAGAAGCATCTAAAGTTTGGATTGACTTTCCCTTCATGCTCTTTCCTGGAACTGATGGGGCCACCCATCCATTCCTCATCAGGACCCTGCTTCTGTCCATGAGCAGTTGGGGATTTCCCACCTCACTAGTCATCGGTGACTATGCCTCATTCCTCACTCATCCTCAGCACCCTCCATGGCACAGTTAATGCCAGTTCTATCAAAGATGTGGGAAAACTGTCTTTCTTGGGAATTTGCTAATGCATTTGATATCTAGATCTCAGAGTCCATTGCACAATACAGAACTCCCCCTGTTCCACTCGCAACAATCATTGTCTTCACACTCTCACCAGCACCTTCTCTTCAACTACAGTCCAGGACCAAGAGAAGCTCACATAATTCTTTCTTATATACAAACCTCCTCAAAAGACCACCCATTGACAAGTAATTGAGCAACTTCTTTGCTGTTTAAACCCATTAAAAACTGATACATTTATCTTTGGGATGTGATCAGGCCTGTGGCACTTGGTAGGTCTTTACTGAATGGCATTGAATGATTGAATTGGACAAAGGGGCAAGTAGATCCACAGTTGCTTTCTACCTGCAAGTGTCCCGGTTGTAAGTGGCGATGGAGCCCTTGAACCTAATATAGGTGGGGGAGGGTCCAGTCAGGTTGCTGTTGGGTGGGGGTGAAGGAGGACACCAATGCTATGGTTTGATTTTAGTATTTACACTGGAGCCTGTTCAAGGGCACCTCCCACAGAAGTCAGCAGGGATGCATGGTGACCCCTCCCCGGAAGCTTTCTCCTCAGAGCCACTAACCAGACACACCAGTGTAGACTGAAGCCTCTGCTGCATTAATTCCTTCTCCCCAATGTCTGTCATTTGTTTTGTGTCATTAGTTCACATGATTTGGGGTTTTGGTTCTATTTTATTATGTGTTATTATTTGTTTTGGTTTATTGATTTTTACAATTTTCAGTTTATTTTTGGAGATGCAATGGATGTTCTTTGTGAAAGCTGAGTTCTTTGTTTCTTTCTTTTGCCCGTGGCTGACTGCATGCTCACTATTGATGTCTTGTTCCTGGTTCTTGAAAATGACCATCTTGTCTGTGAAAGGAGGAGCTGCAGCAGGCTTGCTTGATCAGAAGAAAGGGAAGTTTGCTTGGTTTAGTCACTCCACAGAAACCCATGGTAACGTTCCCTGTGCTCTGTGTGTTAATGTGTGTTGCTACATACCAGTCTGGATGGGAGGGTATTTTTCTTGATGGCTTGTGATGCTGTGATCGTGTGTGTTTATATGTTTGTGTATATATTTGTATGTATGTTTGTGTTTTTGTAAGGGGGTGGTAATCTGTCTCACTCACAGCCACTGCCTTGTCATCTCTTTGTATAAAGTCAGCAGACATAATAGTCAGCAGCTAGTCCTTGATGGACTCTTTCCTTTGGGTAGTGCCAGCCAAGATTAAGATCACTGTAAATGTAATCTTGGTACTGTTACAGGCAGTGCCTTGATTTAGAAGATAATATGGTTCCTCCTAATGCCCAGGCCTACCTACTCCTAATTTGGTTGTCTTTCCATGCCCAGCACCACCACCATCACACCACTCCACACCTAAGGGGCACTCTGGGAGCAGCATGTCATGGAAAGTTCTGTACACAACTCAGCTCTTTAAGTAACGATGTTGGAAGAATTAAAGGGACCTCGGCCAGAAATCGCTGGAGAGAGATGGATTAAAAGACTGAAAGCTCTTCTATTATATTACTTCTTCATTAATGTGGATGGACTAAGGAATTCTGAAAGTCTTACCTTCCCAGTTCCCAGGGCTAAAACCACCCCTAAGGTCTGGTCTTGCTCCCCAGCTCCCTCAGACCTTGGGCTGCAAGGAGAGTGTAAGTGCTGTAAAATTCAACACTGTCCTTGGGCTATTCACCATGTTCTGATGATGTCCCAGTAGCCTGATTTGGCTTTAAGAACCTCATCTGGTCCTAGAGTGTAGGAAAGGGAGTTGGTCAACATGGGGACAATCTAATGAGCATGGTACAGAGGGTCCTGACGCTTGTGCTCCAATCCAAATTCCACCCCAAACTCTGTGTGACCTTGGGCATCTGTCCCTTCCTTAGACCTCGTTTTCCTTTCCTGTGAGGTGAAGGGAACAAGTTAATATCTAAAGTCCCATCCAGCTCCAAGTGTCTATAAAATGGCATCTAGATTTCTTATTACCCAACTTTATTAAAAATGACCCCAAGGTGGACAGGTTGCTCAGATGTGACAGTCAAACACATGGTAAGTCATGGGCTTTCTCTTTGTATCTTTGGTGTTCTTGAAATGAGTCTCTTCCCACTCGCCCATCTTGTGTTCATCCACAAGAGAAGAAACTGGGGAAACCCACGTAACCAGTAGAAGTCTTTTCCTGGCTGTGGTGGCCCCATGGGGACTTGTCACATGGTGCCACATCACCTGATGCCACAGCCTCACTAATGCAGATTCTCTGGCTGCTGAGGGCTAGTGGTATTCTCCCCACATGAGGAGTGTGTCCTGCAAGGAGAGCTGAACCAGAGCCCATGCTGTGAACAAAGGTTGGCACAAATAAGGAACTCACTGATATGTCATATTAAAAGGGTAATAGAAGGTAGAAAATAAATCTCTTGAATTAAATTCTTACTTGGAATCAAAAATAATAATAAAAGAAATGGCTTCTTCTAAGCCATCAAATGTGCTCCAAGGAGAAAACTCCTGCTGGTTTCAAAGCTCAGCCCTCAGCACCTCAGGGAGAGACTGGAGATGGCCAGCAGGTCAGTGCCAGTGGAAGTAGGTGGTTTATATCCCAGGGCAGCCTGTGGAGATGGGAATGTCCCAGCTGCTGGAGGGAGACTGCGTGCCTGCAGTCGAGTGTCAGGCCACAGTAAACTCGGCGTGGCGACTGCTCCTTCCTGCGGGCTGCAGTGCCAGTGTGCATCTTAGTGCATGGTCCGCGCAGGCTCTAGGCGGCAGGTACTGTCCCCGACGTAACAGACTCAGGACCCCGTAGGCACAACAGAAAGGAGGCTTTCTGCTAAATCCATCTAGTAGTTCATGCAGGCGGTGGAGATGCCTTTTCTACAAATAAGCAGGACCCCCCTATGTTTGGGAATGGAGCCCCTGAGAATGGGTGGGAAAAGGTAAGAGAAATAAAATGTTTTCCGGAAAGATCCCCTTTTTATGGCAAGTAGTGGATACAAATGGACAAGCTTGCACAGCTTCTCTGAGGGTGTACAGTTGAGGGTGGAGAAAGGTCCAATGGTGAGTGTTTTGACTATGCCTCCTACAGAGTAAATGATCCGATCGCCAGCTTCCCTTTCACATTCCCATTGTTTGGAGTGCCCTCAGCAACATGACCTACCCTAGATAAGCAGCAGGCATGTCACTCCCTCATGGAAACCCTGGACCTGGCCAGGGCAGTGCAGGGCCTCAGCCTGCTCCCAGCAGCACCCCCACCCTCACCAGCGGGTGCTGCAGGCTGCCCTCCTCCTGAGACTGGGGTACTGCACACTAATGCTCTTCTCTCCCCTTCTCCTCCCGCCCTCATGCCTTGTTCTGCATCCTTTTGACTCTTGCAGTGAGCATGCCCACAAGTGAGACGGAGTCTGTCAACACTGAGAACGTGGCTGGCGGTGACATCGAGGGAGAAAACTGTGGGGCCAGGCTGGCGTGAGTAGGCACTTCCAGCGAGCACAGGGGCTGGGCTTTACTGAGGGTGGGTAGGGAAGCTGTGTCCTTAAGTCAGAATGGGGAGGGGGGAACTCATTACTGCAGGGGGTGAGGCTGGAGAAGGGGGCAGAGGTCAGAGCATAGCAGGAAGCAAAAACCTGCTCAGGGAGCCAGAGCCGAGGGCTGGGGTGAGTACAGCCCTAGGCTGGTATTGAGTCTTAAATTGAGACCGCTCCTCAGTTGGTTATTGAGCTCCTTTCCATCACATCAGAGAAATACAGAGTGTGAGGGGTTGAGGGTGGCTCTGAAGCCTCTCTCTTCCCAGCCCCTCTCACCCCTTTCACAAGAGACACAGGGCTGTGTTAGGCCCCTGGGTGCCGCTCACCTCTCTTTCCATTCTGATAAAAGTGACCTGGAAGGAAAGCATAAGAAAATACACTGGGAGATGATAAGCATGGTCCATGTCGGCATCTCCAGGTTACCCATCTAGTGGAGGGAAGCAAACTGTAGTTCATAAACTCACCTGTGCTCAGCCTGGACTACACTGGCTCCGCTAACACGAGCCCCAGCCTGCATGTCCAGGATTTCCCTCCCCTAGTCAAGCCCCAAGCCCTGGCTTCCAGAGCAGACTTTGGCCTGGGATGGAGCAGAGCCAGGTGTGAGCGGAACAGCTCGCAGGTGGATTATCGCAATCACCCATCTTAGTTCACTCTTTAAAATGGAAACCATAGTCCCTGGGCAATGTGCCCCTCAAAAAAAAAAAGAAGAAGAAGAAGAAGAAGAAGAAGAAGAAGAAGAAGAAGAAGAAGAAGAAGAAGAAGAAGAAGAAGAAGAAGAAGGAGAAGAAGAAGAAGAAGAAGGAGGAGGAGAAAGGAGAAGAAGGAAGAAAGAAGGGAGAAGGGAGAAGGGAGAAGGGAGAAGGGAGAAGGGAGAAGGGAGAAAGGAGAAAGAAGAAGGGAAAAACGGTTTACCTGCTAAAAATAAGTAAACTGCTGGCTTCATTACCAGTGTCTTAGAAAGCAGAGTTCAAAGGATAAAGGCTGCGGGGTCACAGTGACCATGAGCACAAGGACTCCTTTGGGCAGAAGGGGCTCCATTGTGGGAAGTGGGGATGCTTCCTCCTGCCTGGGAGGCGTAGGAACTGTCAGCTCCGCCAGACACTGAAAGGCACCGAGAGAAGGCGCTGAGGAGGACCTGCCTCAGATGAAACCACTCCATCACCCTCCTCTCTGAAGTGGCGCAATGGTGTCCCCATCCATTTTAAGAAGTTAGTGAGTCTAAACATAAGAATGACCCCTGAGCCAAAGGAAAAAGGACTGGAGGCCCAGGCACAAGCCAGCCCTGTGACCTCCATCTCTGCACTGCAGGTTTCTCAGCCTTGCTGGGGAGCACTCATCCAAATGTTGTTAAATATGGTGCTAATTATGTTTTAAGCGGCAATCCAAGCCTTTTTTCCTTCTCTTCTTTTGGAACCATACAAAGCAAGCAATTGCATTTCTCAGTCAGCCACACTAGAGCAAGGCAGAGAGCAAGCCTTCGGAGTCCCTCAGTGCTAGGCCTTTCTGAGGTCTTGACCCCAAGGGAACGGAGAGAAGGTTAGGGACCCTGCAACTCTAGATGTTGGGCATGGCCCAGGCACAGGCCAGGAGGGACAGGGACTGGCAGCAGGAGGCCACTGGAGAGCTGAGCTCTGTTGGAAGAACACGATGACCCCCACAGAGAGAGCTGGCAGTCCCTCTGGTGCAGCTGTTAATGCCTTGAGGATAGGCTCTGCAGCCTTCAAGAGCTCTGTAGAAATGGTCCACATTTATATACCTACGCTGTGCATATAAAATATCTGGTCATTGTGCCAGAATTATAACATGTACTTAATAAATTATGGTCTTTCCCTATCTCTAACCTTCCCCCCTCAGACAATGATGAGAGGAGACTTCCTGGTGGGAGAGGCAGCATGAGGACAGGCCAGGGCCTGAGAGTGGGTGGTAGTGAGGAGGCAGTGAGAGGCTAGTTGTGAAGGAAGATGAGGTCTGGGTAAGGATTTATATGTAGTGAGAGGCTGGGATGAAAATGGTTCCTGTGGGGCAGCGGCAGAGAGAAAGGACCTGCAATGTGATATTTGGGGGGAGAAGGAAGGAGGATAAGTGTGCAGAGGAAGGAGCCATCAAAGTTTGGAGGCAGAACATGATAAGAATGCTGAAGTGCCCTGTGAAGCAGGCCAAGCCGAGGGACCATGCAGGCAGCAGGATGTGGAGGTCCGAGGTCCAGCTCCGGCTCCGGGCAGGGAGGAGTCACATGTTTGAGGTTATCAGGATAAAAACTATTCCGAGGTCATATGCCAGGGTTGTTCTTAGGAGAATGGAGGCAGAACCTTGGGACACAGACACATAGAAGAATAAGAACAAGTAAATGAAACAGGTGAAGTGGTGTTAGGGGTACAGATCTCAGCAGTCGCTTGGAAACCACTGAAGGAAGAATTTCAAGACACAGCCATCCATCTGTACACTCAGTCAGTAGTGTGCCCGGTGTGGAGCTAGTGATGGTGATGCATAGCAGTCAGTAGAGCAAATTGACACCCTCTTGCTAGAGCTCATAATCTGGTGTGAAGTTGACATTCATAAGTAAATAAGTCGTTAAAATTGGGGTAAGTGTTAAGAAGGAAGAGTAGCTGAAGTATGCGCTTAATGACAGGGATGGACTTGACTTAGACTGGCAGGTTGGGAACAGCTGCTGGGGAGAAATAAAATTTCAGCTCCGAACTGAAGGGTTGAAGAATAGTACATTACTGAGGTGAAGAGTGTGGAAGAATGTTCCAGTCAGAGGCAACAGTGCATGTCAAGGCCCTGGAGTGGAAGAACTGAGAGAAGGCCAGCTTGGACAGTGCAGCCTGAGTGAAGACAGAGATGAGGCTGGAGATGGGGCAGGGCCTGGGTGACCCCTTGATGGCCTTGGTCTTTGTCACAAGACTGTGAGAAGTCATGGGATAAGGAGCTGTTTGATTTGGTTAGTTTTGCATTCTTGACAGACCACTTTAGAAAAGAAAGTTTAGGGGTGGGGCTAATGAGGAAGCAGCACACGTGTGCGGAGGCCTCCCTGGCAGTTACCCACAGGTGAGATGATGGAGGTGCAGACTGGAGTCACGTGTGGGGATGGAAAGGATGGAAAGGAGTGGAGGACTCTGTGCTCTGTGCGGTGGGAGCTGAGTCTCAGAGTGGAGAGGGGGTGGAAATGAGCCAGCACAAGGAGCTGACTCCACCAGTGGGGCCATGGAAAGGAGAGGAGAGTAGGATCCTAGAAAGAAGGGGCTTGTTTCATCATAGTAAAGAGATGATCTTTAAAGCAAAAAAAGAAGTCCGTGAAAATGGAGGGGCTAAAGGCTCTGGGATCTAAATGGGAGTGCCTACGAAGGAACTACTTAAGAAGAGGGAGTGGACTTCAAAGACAGTTTGAGACACTGGATTCACACAGAAAGAAGGAGCTCCTTTCCCAGGAGATGGGAGAAGAGACCTTTCGTCAGGAGTCCTGCAGTCCAGCACTGATCCGCCCTGGACCTCAGCTGGCACTTCTGCTCTGAGTCTCGGCTTCCTCCTCTAGGGAAGGATGGGCTGGCCTGATGGTGCCTCAGGGGCTCTCAGCAGAGGCCAGGGATCCTGGGAACCACGGCAGGGCTGGGACAGGAGACCACTTTCACCTCTTTCACACATTGGGCTTCCATGTAAGATTTCTGGAATAAAACACCCTGTAACTTGATATTTGTGGACCATAGATCCAGCTCTCAAAGCCAACAGTTCTATAAAGAATATAGAATCAGAAACAGGCTCTGCTGAAGATATGATAGGAGTCATAGCAAATGATCTGTCAGCTCCTCCCAGAGGAGGGTTAGGTGTCCTAGGGACCTGCAGGACAGGAGATTCAAACTAGTGAGTCACCAGGACATCGCAAACAGCTTGCTGAGCAGTGCGAATCTGAATCCACAGTGGAGACTGACATCGTAAATGTGCAATTGGCCTGCAGAACTATGTGACTGGTTTTTGGTAGGCTCTTTGGCCTGAGGGCAGCACTAAAAACACGACAGTGGTGTGAACCAGGATGGGGTTTGCCAAGCAGACCCAGCAGAAGGCCCAGGCAATGGGGAGTCTGCGTGGTGTGGAGGGCAGTCCTGACATGACCATGGGGCCAAGCTGAGAACTGGAGGTGACGTGTGCATTGGCCTGGGAGCCCTGGAAGAGTGAGTGGTTGGGAAGATCCAGTGAGGGCAAAGTGGGTTCAGTGAAAGAGCAAGAGGGGTAATAGAGAAGGAGACTCTGGCCAGGGGTGGGGAGCAACTGCCTTCAGTACCGAATAGCTCCAGTACTAACAGCCATGGGAGGTGTTGCAGCGATAGAGATGAGGAGGCAGTCAGATATGTGTCAGCCTGGGTGGTGACTCCAGTGCCCTCTGATTTATGTTAAAGGCAAATTGGGACAATTCTGGCAAATGCTATTTCACACAACAGGGAGTAAACATATGGTGCTCATTACTCTAAGAAGGGGAGAGAAGCTGAAAATATAAATGGCTCCCAAGAAGTTCAAATATTTGTCAAATAATGACAAATGCAAATTGAGTAACGAAGCAAAACAAAAAGAGTTTTGGGGTTTTCTCTAGTTTTGAACTTCAATATCAAAGAAAATCATAGTTTCCTAGAAGGTTTGTCTTGGAGGCCTAGGCAGAAAAAATATCTTGGATTAGATGTACCCCAGGTCCAATACATTGGAACTGTTCTGATGGTCTTATGTGTTAAATTCTAACTTTCCTCATCTCCCTGCTCTTTAAGAATCCACTTAAAACACTAGATAGGGTTTTTAGGATAGGATGGGATGGCATGGCATGGGATGGCATGGGATGGCGTAGAATAGAATAGAATAGAATAGAATAGAATAGAATAGAATAGAATAGAATAGAATAGAATAGAATAGAATAGAATGATGGAAAAAGCCACCAAGCCTTCTGAACAAGCTGTGTGCGCCTCATTGGGGTTTGGAGAAGCTGGAGGCTCTACTGATCAGTAGAAGGAAACATTTGCCACACATGAAACAGCCCAGGGTATGGAGCGGTGCACCCACCTAGTCCCCACCTGGCTTACTCACACAGGGGACCAGTGCGAGCAGCTTTCCAAACCCTAAGCCGGTGGTTACCTCCCAGGAGGTGAAAGGCTGCAGAGCGATGGGGTCCCTCTGTTTTTGTGGAGTGGGTCCCACTGTCCTCTCACACCTGTCAGGGAGAATGGAGGCATCAATGCACTTGGGCTTTGCAAGACTTCTAACCTCAGCTCTCCAAGGGCTGGGTTTCCTGGGTCTCAGACAAATGCCTCTTGAACAACACTCTCCCCTTCCCAAGTACAAACACTTAAGTAATATGGTGCTTAGAAGGGGATGAATGTTCCAGACTCAGAAAGCCTGAAATTAAGCTCACAACCCCCTGAAACAGCAACAACACGAAAATCAGTCTCAAAGTGTGGTCCAGGGTTATACATCAGAACAAGCAACTAAGCGGAAAAGAAAGTCCTGCTTCCTTTCCTCCTCCTCAGAATGTGCCAGAATGCCATGTGCAGACCCATAGCTGATGACCATGCCTACACTCAGGCCAGGCCCTCATTTCAAAGTTACCCAGCACCAATCCTTCCCTGTGTCCAATTCCCAGAGTCACTTCCTTGGAAGATGTGAACATTCAGATTTCGGTTTCCATATATGTTGGATTTAAGAACCCAATTTTCTTCTGACTCCCTTGGACTGCAAGAGAGAGCCTTGTGGGGAAGGGGCCGTGGTCTGCACTGACGGGCACTGCAGAGAGGGTCATGGAGATGTTTCAGAAAGAACGCCGAGGGCTGGCCAAGCTCTATGGACAAAGCCTCGGAGATCATGATCATCTGCATTGGCTTCTGCAAGAGTGAGAACTGCCAGAAGGTGCCATGCTCAGCCCAGCCCTGCTGGAGAACAGAGCACCCTGGACTCCCTGCCACCCAATTAGCACCTGGAAAACATTTGTTTCCCCATTAAACTGTGACTCTAAATAAAATGCTGCCCGACTCCCTCTCCCCCTCCCACACGCTTTGTTAACATGTGATTAAACCCTCCAGCCCTGGCAGGCAGTCTTTGGAGGCGGGAAAAGGTTATTAGCTAACGGTTCAGAGCAGTAAAGGCACTTGGCTCAGATTCTCAGTGCCCCAGAAATATCATTATCTCATGCTCGATGGCTTTGCCACCTGCCACATCTTCTGGTTTAATTTTTTTTAAATAAAAAACAATGAGAGGGGTTGTTTTCTTGCTATGCAACAGAGCTTGCTTTGTGCTGAGCTGGATGACACAGGCTTGCAGCAGTCGCCTCTCAAGTCCCTGCTCCTGTTTTCTCTTGGCATCTCTTTGTCTCTACTGTTCTCTCCATCCCTTTTGCCACCTCTAACTTGGATTTTTGTATCTCTCTGTGCATTCACCTGCAAGCTCTCCAGTGTTTACTCCCTGACACCAAGCCTTTCTGACTCATTGCCTTCAAGTTTCTGTCTCAAGTTCTCTCTCTCTCTCTCTCTCTCTCTCTCTCTCTCTCTCTCTCTCTCCATATATTTATCTCCCTTCCTTCCTCTCTTCTTCCCTCTCTCTTCTCCCATCCTGCCTCCGTACAGCTCCCCTGGACTCTCCTATGTGAACTAGGTGGTCTCAGGGCCTCCTTGAAGGTTCACCTTTTAATGGACCCGCCCCATACAGTGACCCTTCGAATCAGCCAGCAGCACACCTGCCCGGTGCTCCTGCCCAGAGCCCCCCAGGGCTTCCGGGCTGCACCTGGCTGCCAGCATGCTGGCTTTCTCCTCGGGACCCATGGCTTCCTTCAGGCCCAGGTTGCTGCCCTCACCAGGACTGTAGTGCCTTTCAGTGCCCAGCTGGCTCTTGTGCTCATCTTCACTTCATAGCCAGCGATGGCCAGGCTCCTGTTCAGAGGGCAGTGGGGTCTCCCCGATGTGTTTCTGCCACGGTCTCTGGCTGGTGAGACCCTCCACCTGCTAGAGAGACCTCCCTGTCCTGTATGGCCCTTCCCAAGGCTCCTCCCTGTCCTGTATGGCCCTTCCCAAGGCGCCTCCCTGTCCTGTATGGCTCTTCCCAAGGTGCCTCCCTGTCCTCTATGGCACTTCTCAAGGTGCAGCTTCCTAAAACGCTGCCTAACCTGACCTCACGGAACCTCATCGTAGATGCTGGTTATCTGAGAGCACCGGCTCTCCTGCTCCACTCAGAAGACACTGGATTTGTAGACTTGTCAGTGGGGCAGGCTTCAGTCTCCACATTCAAACACACAAGCACACCAGAAGATGCTGACAAATAGGTTCTCTCTTCAGAGTTGTTCTAAGTCACATCACACATCCATCGGGTGCCCACAAATAGTCAGCAGGGGACATCGACTTCCCTGGCATGGCTGAACACCTTTGAAATGGAAGGGAACTTGTATCACCTGCTAACGTCCCCCTTTTCTCTTTCAGCCACCGGATCTCCAAGTCAAAGTTCAGGTAAGTGCAGGACATGCTGCTCTTCCTTCCCTCTGCCCACCAGCTCCATCCAGTGCCCTTCCAGGAGGGCAGAAGAGTGAGGAGGAACTGCCCTCTTTTGTATGGCTAGAAAGAAGAGGTTTGGGGGTTATAGCAAGCAAATAATCCAGGGGTTGATACGTGTTGAATTATCTTTATCCATCCGTCTTTTGGGCAGCACCATCCCAAGGCGGCTGTGAGGCCTAGTGTGCCCCCTCCCTTATAAGATGAAGTCCAGTTAAAATCACTGCCACATGGTTGTTTGCTGCTGCTCTGATGCTTCATGTCCATGGGCCACAGTGAGATATGAGCGTAAGGGTTTGGGAAGCACACAGGATCACCACGCGGCTAGGCTCCGAACTTTCCACAGGGGCTAAGGTCTTCAGCCCCATCTGACTTTCCAGTCTCACCTTCCTCACTCCCCTGCACATACCCTTTGTTCCAACCCATGGAACTTGCATTTACTGGAATGTTCCCTGTCCTCTCGTACATCAGGGCCTTTGCCTGGAGCCTCTCTTCTACCTGATTCACTGTGTCCCCATGTCATTTGGAGAACTCAGACTTTTGTTAAGAGCCTCAAATGTCACAAACTGCAAAAATGTCTGCAAACCCCCCACGGGAAGTTATCCACCTCCCTCCATTCCCATAGTGCTTTGCTCATAACTCTATCACAGCACTTACCATACTGCACACCAGTTATTGGCTCACATGCCTGTTGCCTTCAGTAGGTTCTGCATGCTCCAGAGGTATTACTTCCAGAGACTATAGCTGAGTGCCAGCCCAGTGGTAGGCTGTTCGCACATGTGTATACTACGGTTTCCACTACAGATGCTAGAAAAATGTGTCCACATTTTCTGGTGTCTGATTGTGGCAGCCAAGACTGAATGGAAGAATATAGGAGAAGAGCAAGGAAATACAGGGCGAAAATGGAGAGAGAACTTTTGCAACTCAGAAGTAACCTTGTAGACAGTGAAGAGCCTGTTTTACTCAAAAAAAAAAAGTCTCTAAAATTTGAGTTTTAAAAAAATCAAAGCATTCCTGATCATTTACTCAGTTTAGCAATGACAAATAATGGAAGTTGAGCTTAAAAACTGGCCTACTCTATTTGCAAAACTGAATATACAAAGTTACAGTTTATTTAAAAGAAATATTAGAGCAGGGCTTTTAGGAAAAAATTCTGCAAATTAATGACTTATAATATTAGAATTAGTTACAATGAGGAACTTTGCGACATTTGGGGCTTCCTGTTCAGAAGAGGATTTAAACAGTGATGGAACAAATGATTCAGAAAGTCTTATGCAACTTGAAGGGATTAATCAGATAACCTGTTAGAGCTTCCAGATCTCCACTTTATAGAGTTCTGAAGTGGGTCCCATGGAGTTTCTAGAATTTTGGAGGACTATCTGCCCCATGTTCAGTGAAATGTGCCTCCAATGTTCCCTTTACTTCTTCTGTCCCATAGCAACAAGGCACCCATATTTGCCCCCATCTCTAATAGTCTATTTTTAAGTTACTTAGATATAAAATAATTAAATTTAATGATTTTCTGTGTTGCTTGTTCTCAGTTCTGTAGTCACTAGAAAGAGCCTGAAGTGTCCATCATTTTGATGTTGTCTAATGTTCTAGATGACTGTCAAAAATTATGTGCCAAGCAAACCCTCAGGAGCACGGCCCTCTCCTGACACCCTCCCTCTTCCCTGGGTCTCAAGAGCCCCGAGGCCCAAAGCCTGTCTCCAAGGAGCTTGTCTCCAGCCTGTAAGAGCTCGTGAAATGGACAGCATGTACTGTGAGTCTACAACAAAGTGCAAGACAGTCCCTTCCCCTAATTGGAGATACGTGCAGTGCCAGATAACTGGGAAGGCATTTCCTCTGGGAACCATTTCTGGCTCCTCTGTGACTGGCTAGGATGCCCGTGTATGTGCTCTGCTGACCCACCTTGGCACTGATCATGCTCTGCGATTGCTTGCTGAGTGGTCTGTGCACCACGTGGGTTTTATGCAGACAGAGGCTATGTCTATCGTGCTAACTGTTGAATATCTAGTACCTGGCCCACATAGGAGTTCAGTAAGTACTTCTTAAATATATAACTAAACAATGATGCTGACAATGAGTTCTAAGCCTGCGAAGACTAGAAAAGTACTCCAGGGAGAAGCTGGGATGTATAGGACATAGAAGGGCAGGGTCTGACAGGGGGGGACAGTCCATGTAGAAAGGCAAGCGCAGGGCCCATATTGGGAAGAGGTGAGGAGGGTCTGAGTGAGCAGAAATTTCCTAGGGGAAGCAGTGGAGTAGAAGTGGATTAGACACAGTCATATCTATCCTTCTCTCCCAGGTCTACATGGGAAAGTTCTATTTCTAGAGAAAATGACTTTCCCAGTTAGTGTGAAGGGAACTAAACAGCAGGCACATTTCTCCTCCCTGTTTTATCATTTAATTTCTATATCCTCTATGCATATGTAAACACAAATAAATTCACACATTCTAATAAACCATTGCATTTATTATACAGTAGGAAGCGTTGCCAGGAAACCAGTTGTCAAGCAAAGCTATATTTTGAAGAGTGGGAGGTGTATAATTATCTTTAAATACTTTCTCGGGGTAGTAATTACCCCACCCCCACCCCAGCTCAAATCCATGTGACTCTCGTGAATGGCTGTGCAGGGAAACAGCACGACTTAGGGATACCACCTGTCCGTGACAGCCTCTCCTTCAGGGGTTCGAGCAGAGCAGTTCCAGACCCATGGACAGGCCTGACCATGTCACCCCCACAGCCACTAACCACAAACCCCAGGGAAAGAGGAGCTTAATCTAAGTTCTCAGCATAAACTGACTTCGAGTCGGCTCCTAACACTTAAAAGAAAGCAAACTTGATTCCTTTGGACTCTGAATACAAGCATCAGTGACTTCTGTAAATGGCACTGTATCTAAAACATTTTTTGAAACTACAGTGTAAGCTATTTAAGATCCGATATGACTCTGTCCTGAAAATTCATTTCTTATGAAAACAATTGTTACCAAATTTCTCTATAATATTAATAACCACAATAATGGAAGAATCAGAGTCCTGCCCAGGCGAGAAAGACTCTGTACCGAGGTCTGGCCACCTCCAAAAGTTGCAGCTCACTAAGGACCAACCACCTGGGACTCAGTCCCCTTCCTTTACCCTCTGTTCACTCTCATATCCTCACGCTTACCCGGGGTGGTAAGTGCATCTGGAAACTATAATTTTCTGACCCGAGGCATTTCTTCTCTGTGTAGTGACTTTTCCTTAGGTAGCAGGTAAGTGTCTCCCACAAAGGTGTGGTGCTCACTGAGAGGGCATTCCAGCACCCACAGTGATAATAGCGGCCAGATCAGAACACGACCCAGTGAACCCTCCCTGCTCTTCCCTCCCTGCTCTGCAAGCCAAAAAACCAGGTTCTCCTTGTGGTTCTGAGGAAACCACACCCTTCCCAGATGTACATCCCACTTCTCTAATCTTGTTGCACCAGGGTTTGGTAAGGGGATTATCCAGGGACAGTAGGTAGAAGTAATCTGGGATGCATGAAGGGATCATAAACAGCAGACGTCTCCCTCCCTGGAAACATAGAGTAAAGATGTTCATGGACATTACTCCACGATTCTGCTCTATTTCTCACCTGCCTTCTTTATTAGCCAAACCATCTTCATTTCTCCCCATCAGAGTTACACATCCAGCTGCATATTTTCTCTGCATTGCAAGGATGAAATTAGGGGTGTGTTTTAAACATGCCACCATAGAATTATGAGATGTGACTTGTTTTGCTTGGGTTCATCTAGCATAGTGGTTCTCGGTCATGCTTACACAGTAGAATCATGTGGGGAAATCTGAATTTCATAGCCACCTCCCTCCCTCCCTTCTCTCCTCAACCCCCACCCCTTTCCAGTCGCTACTGGCGCCGGTGGAATCGGTTCTGCAGAAGGAAGTGTCGTGCCGCAGTCAAGTCCAATGTCTTCTACTGGCTCGTAATTTTCCTGGTGTTCCTCAACACGCTCACCATTGCCTCGGAGCATTACAACCAGCCGCACTGGCTCACAGAAGTCCAAGGTGAGAGGCAGCCCCTGGCGCCATCCTGGTTTACTCTGGCACAAGCATGTCAAACTCAAAGGCTAACACGGGCCAAATAAACAAGGCATGCGGCCCTCGGGCTGAGAGTTTGACATGCTTGAGTCCCAGGGAATGAGCTGTCACACGCAGAAGGTGGACGGGAAAGCATCCATGGTTGCGGCTCTTGGCAGGTGCCATGCTTGGGACACCAAGGGCCTGGCAGCTCGAAAGCCCCACAATAAAATGCACACCTCATCGTAAACAAGCTGGCTCACCTGGCTGGGTCCATGCCATCTGCCTGCCCCAACAGTCATTCTTGGGCCCAGGTGACATGGACATGTGCTGTACCTAGTTTGCTCTCTCAGACCCTTGGCTGCCGACTTCCCAGAATGGGTTTTCAATCCTTTAGCTTTCCTGTTGCCTCCAGGTATACGTGGCGGTAAGTCCAGGTGGGCTGCAGACGTGAGGATGAGGTGAGCAAAAAAGCAGGGGGAAGGGCAGGAGTGGCATGAACACGGGGAGCCTCCTCGGCTGGTAGTTAGTGCCCAGGCCCTTCCCTGAAGCGACCCCTTGGAGAGGCCCTCACTGGCCAGTGCCTCAGCACCGCCCCAGGCATCAGGCAGACACAGGGGTGCATTCTAGACTCAGGTGGCCTAGCTTCGCCTCTTGGCTTATTGGTTTTGGTGGAGTACTCATCTCTCTGAGCCTCACTTCTTATATCTGGAAAATGGGCAATAATACTTGGAAAATTCCAAAGATAATTGTGGCTCGGTGGTTAGAGCATCACCCCATGCAATGAAGGATCCCAGGTTTGATATCTGGTCAGGAGCAGGTATCTGGGTTGCAGGTTGGATCCCCAACCCCAGTCATAGCATGTGTGGGAGGCAACCAATCAATGTGTCTCTCTCACAATGATGTTTCTCTCTCTTTCTCCCCCTCCACTGCCCCCCTCCTTCCCTTCCACTCTCTATAAAAATCAATGGAAAAATATCCTCAGGTATAGATTAACAAAAATAAATAAATAAATAAATAAATAAATAAATAAATAAATAAATAAAATTGCACACTGTTCTGAGTAGTATGGTGAAGCCTCACACTGTTTGAGTGTGATGTACAGGAAAAACAGTGAATATAGGGTTCAGTACTATCTCTGGTTTCAGGCATCCAATGGGAGTCTTAGACTATATCTCCTATGGATAAGGGAGATTGCTGTACTTGATAAATGGATACCTCTGCCCATTGATTTGGCCCTACTTGTTCTGCTTTGGTAGCTGTGGATGGGAGAGGTGTCCTGGCTGGGAAGGGAGAATTAGTTTTTTTCAGTGCTGATTATTACTGTGTTTTCTTTCTCCTTCTCCCCGTGTTCCCTCCTCTCACACCTGTTTGGATCCCATCCCACCCCTGAACCTGCCAGACACGGCCAACAAGGCGCTCCTGGCCCTGTTCACTGCGGAGATGCTGCTGAAGATGTACAGCCTGGGCCTACAGGCCTACTTCGTGTCCCTCTTCAACCGCTTCGACTGCTTCATTGTATGCGGGGGCATCCTGGAGACCATCCTGGTGGAGACCAAGGTCATGTCCCCCTTGGGCATCTCTGTGCTGAGATGTGTTCGGCTCCTGAGGATATTTAAAATCACCAGGTATTGCCCTCCTCACGGGACTCGGGGAGATGTTGGCCCGGAGGGCAGGGAGGCAGAAAGGCCTGGGCGGGAGAGCAGCTGCTGTTCCCGGAGGGGTCCAGCGGCTCCATCAGGGAGGAAGCTTTGATTCACTTACATGCGTATCACTTAGAAGTCCCTTTGACTGCTAGTACCAGAGACTCAGCTCAGTGCTGTAAGCAAATTAGGGATTTGCTCAGCCACATAAAGGAAGCCCCGGTGGCTTCGAGATGGCAGCAGGACCCCGTCTCCTGGTCGCTTTGCTAGCCTTAGGCCTGCCTTCCACCCCAAGGTCACAAGGCGGCTCTTGGAGATTGAGCCTTCCTGTTGGAATTTGAGGCAAACAGGAGCGGAACAACAGGGACACCCACCCCACTGAGCCAGCTGTCCCGGGAAATCTCCCCGCACCTCTGTTCTCATGACCCCCCAGCTGTAAGAGACAGAAACGCGGCCTAGCAGGTGCAGGCTTGGCTCCGAGGTCCCTTAACTGAAGAAGGGCCGTGGATATTGTGCCGCAGAGGGCTTTCATCCCTCCTTCCCCATGCTCGCCCCTCTGTCCGCCTGTCCATCTGCCAGGCTCAGCAGTGATTCCCATGCAGAGGACAGGCCGGGCAGGGCTCGGGAGTGGGAAGCATATTCTAGAACAATCATTTTCAACTGCGTTTTCAACTGATGAAATCAGTTTATTGGATCACAACCATCATTTTAAACAGCTTTCTTGAGATGTAATTAACATACGAATAAATTCACCCCTTTATACAATTCATTTTTATATGTATTCAGAGCATTGCAACCATCAGCACTGTCTGGTTTTAGACCATTTTCATCACCCCTAAAAGAGACCCCAGACCCATTCCTCATTCCCCACCCCCCTCCCAGTAGCAACACTAACTGACTTTCTATCCCTTAGATCTGCCCACTGTGAGCATTGACCTGTGTGGACTCAGGCTGTGCATGGTGTTTAGCTTCTTTCACTTGGCATGATGGTCTCCAGGTTCCCCCACTTGGTAGGATGGATAACACTCCATTCCTTTCTTGGCTGAATAACGTCCCATTGTATGGATATGTACCCCATTTGTGTATTCATTCCTCACTTGGTAGACATTTGGTTTATATCTGCCTTTTGGCTACTATGAATAATGCAGCTATGAATAACTGATGTTCTAGTTTTTGGTATGGATGTGTTTCCATTTCTCTTGGATATGTGCTTAGCAGTGGACTATTCAGGTCATTTAGAAATTGCGTTTAAGGTTTTGAGGAAACACCAAACTGTTTTCCAGAAACTAGGCCATTTTACATTCCCATCAGTGACGTATAAAGGTTCCAATTTCTCCACATTCTCGCTTTTCATGAAAGAGCAAAATAGAGCAAGGAAGCATCAGAAGGCCTCACATGAACGCATGCATTTTTCATCAAAATCTTTGAGATATACATCTGAGTTGTGGTATAATATGTATTTCTCACTGTGGGTTGTGGTCAGCCCATGTCAGAAACACCTGGAAGGAAGCAAGCCCCTCTCCTGAAGAATCTGCTGTGGGGTCTGACAGCAGGAACGCGGAGGCCATCATTGGGACTGTGTTAGACTCGCAGTGATGGCGAACCTTTTGAGCTCGGCGTGTCAGCATTTTGAAAAACCCTAACTTAACTCTGGTGCCGTGTCACATATAGAAATTTTTTGATATTTGCAACCACAGTAAAACAAAGACTTATATTTTAGATATTTATTTTATATATTTAAATGCCATTTAACAAAGAAAAATCAACCAAAAAATGAGTTCGCCTGTCACCTCTGACACACGTGTCATAGATTCGCCAACACTGTGTTAGAGGAAGGGGGTGAGTGGGTAGCTCCCATTCAGGGCCCTGGAGTTAGGCAGATCCTGCTCAGAGTGTTCTGAACGTGACTGAGTGAGTCAGCGGGGCCCATAAAACATCCCTAGGTTCTCTGCAAGCACCTCGCACACCTTGCTCCTACGGTGTTGTCGGGGGTCATATGGGAAAAGGATTTAAAGTGTTCACTTCAGGCAGAAGAGTGCCAGGCCGAGGAGACACACCCGGAGCATTTATTATTAATCTAATTGTAATTGTTACTATCAGAGAACACGGCCTACACATACACACTCTCTTACCTTTGTTTCTCTACCATGTAATACTGTGACAAGCCTGGTGGGGGACCTGGGAACAGGAGGGGAAGGTTTAGTACCAGACAATAGACTTAAAGTGTATGCAGAATTGAAATCCACAAGTTTGACACTCCTGAGCAACAAACCCTTCCCCACCTGCCAAAAAAAGAGCTCTTTATGATATGAATGTCCTGAATATCTTGGCATTTCAGAAAATTCTTGGTTTAGAATAAAAGTAGCAGAAATATAGTAACAATCATTGTTAACGTGCATCAAGGCTGGCTCTGTGCCAGACAGTGTGATTGAATTCAAGTGCATTTGCTCCACTAATCCTCACAATGACTTGTAAGAGAGGGTGAGGATACACCACTATGATCATTATTCCCATTTTGCAGATGAGAAAACTGTGGCTTAGAGTTAAGTCACTTTCCCAAGGCCACACAAACTGCTCAGGGGCAAAGCTGGGCCTGTGCACCGGAAGGTCATGGGTTCAATGCCCGGTTAAGGGCAGGTACCTGAGTTGCAGGTTCTTTCCCTGCTCCCCGTCAGAACCTGTGCGGGAGGCAACCAATTGAAGTGTCTCTCTCACATCAATGTTTCTCTTCTCTCCCTCTTTCTCTCTTTCTCTTTCCCCCCTTCCTCCCTCCCTTCCACTTTTTCTAAAAATCAATGGGAAAAAATATCCTCAAGTGAAGATTAACAAAACCAAAAAAAAAAAAAAAAGGCACCTCTGTGTGCCTGGCTTCTGGTTCTGTGCAGCTCATGACCATAAACTCAGAGTTGATGGCTAAACTGTCTTGTTGTCTGTGTCCCTGAGACAGAACTTAAGGGACTTAGCATACTGATACTTGTCAGATAATTGCGGATTTTATTTTCTCCTCCTGGGGTCTGGTGATAGCTATTTTTAATTTGCAGTTTCTAGAACCTCTTAAATAATTCTCAACGTCCATGTGTTTGGGAGTCTTGTTTTTGTTTTTTGTTTTAATTCCTATATAAAAGAATTTTGCTTTTAGATATCGTCATAGCATCTTGAAGAGATTTAACATTCATTCTATTTTTAATCAATGATTTATCTATTTATAATCTGGAACTATTGCCAAGAAATTATTTTTTAACTCTGTCTTTATTGGAGAGCCTCCCATAGTCCCTCCATGAGAAAGATTAGTGTTATTTTCAGATCTCTATAAACCCTGTAAACAGAATAATTTCATTATCTAATTGGAAGCTTTGGCAGAAGCCATCATCTTCCTGTTTTCCAGTCTCCAAACTCTCTGGGGGCTTTTGGAAAACAACAAAAAGACTAACTATGCAGGGGAATCCCATGCTCCCTCTGAACCTTGTCCCCAATACACTCCAGAGACCAAGAAAATGCCTACGACATGGCCTGGGTGGGCACTGGGCCTTGAGGCGGGTCATCTGTGCATGGTCCTGCCACCAAACAATATTCTGTTAAAATCTCTCGGAGAATACTTTGTGATGTCTCACTACTGGTTTCACAGTATGTTCTGAACCAGTGATTGCAATTCTCATACTTAGTTGAACTTTTCGGAGGTCTCATTAAGGACCCGCCTCCAGAGATTTTGACCAGCCAGTGGACAGTTCGGTGCTGGTGGTCCAGTGACCTCACTTTGAGAAACACTGGCCTAATTTTCTGCTGCTGTCCTTTGTCCACTTTTTGTCTAAAAGGTGAACCTTTGTATGTAATTGGAAACCTTGATTTCTTTCTCCCCTCCCCTTCCCCAAGGATATGCTTTTTATTGATTTTAGAGAGAGAGGGAGGGAGAGAGAGAAACATTGATGTGAGAGAAAAACATCAATTGGTTGCCTCCATCCATTACTTGTATCTCTATCCCTCTCCTGCTCTGAGTCTGTCCCTGGCTGTGTCCTGTGGAATTCTCCCTTCTCTCCAATGACAGAAAGTGGCCTGCACCTTGTTTGAACTGGAACTTTCATCTAGTGACCCTTTTCTTCAAATAGCTCAGGGCTGGGACCTTTTCATTCTAGGTACAGAGCAGAGCATTGTGCTTGCTCTAAAGGAAAGACCTTCACAGTAACAGTACCAATAGCTTTGGGTGCTTTGCAAATGCTCTACCCTACCTCCACTCTGTCTCGGACAGGGCCGTAACTAAATTTTTCCTGAGAAGTAAAAAAGAAAGAAAGAAGAGAGAGAGAGAGAGAGAGAGAGAGAGAGAGAGAGAGAGAGAGAGAGAGAGAGAGAGAGAGAGAAAGAAAGAAAGAAAGAAAGAAAGAAAGAAAGAAAGAAAGAAAGAAAGAAAGAAAGAGAAAGAGAAAACCTCCTTGTGTTGGTGGCAATGATCTATTGCTGGTGACATGCTTATAAAGCAAATTTCAGTGTGTAGTGTGGGCTTCTGTACACCATCCTAAGAATGGGAGGGAGAGGCAGGCAAGGGGGAAAGGATTCAGTCATGTGAGGAAACCTGGGGAAGCAGGTTGATCGGTGAGGAGCTCGGCCTTGCCCGTGCCTCTCCTGCACTAGCCACGGGGATATCAGGACTCAAACCAGGAGCAGGCTCGGAGCAGGAGAGCGACGGAGGTACAAGTACCCCTGAACAGATGGTGGCAACTTAAACCCAGGGAGGCACAGGGGAGGTAACAAAAGTGAAGCCGGGTTCGGCAAGTGAGAGAATTCAGGTAACGAAGAAACTGGTTGGGTCAAAAGCCTTGACGTGCATCTGCTTTAAGGAGAAGGCAGTGGGCTGGGGCTGACGGGGATGGGTGGGCAAAGACACACTTGGAGGCAGTGACTCAGAGCCCCCGAAGGATTGAAAAGAAAAGTTGACCCCAAGGGATGACTGCGCAGATGGAGTGTCTGAGGATGGGGTGGCGTGTGCTTCGGGG